CTTGGTTGCGGGCACATCCCCAGTAATGGATGTACAAGAGGCAGGTGATCGGTGATTCTCTCTCATCGATGTTTCTAACTCTCTATCACTCTCCCTTCCTCTCTGTAAAAAAAATCAATAAAATATATATTTTTTAAAAGATTATTCTCTGGTGAGGATTAAAATAGATAGATAGATAGATAGATAGATAGATAGATAGATAGATAGATGATATATAATAGACAGCTCTTGGCTATGCCACTGACCAGTCAGTCAGCTGACCCAGAACTGACCTCTCTCAGCCTTAGTTTCCCCACCCAAAAAATGGGGCTGACAGCCCTGTCTGCAGACCCCTCCTCACTGCTGACTGGGGGACTGGATCGTGGGGCCTGGAGAACCTTTCGGTGGCTCCGCTTCTCTAGCGAGAGGGTGAGAGTGGCCCCTGTGCAGCCTTTTATCTCCCAGATTCCAGCTTTCCAGTTAGTTCTCTTCCTGTGGTGACGGGGGAGGAGGCTGGCTCTCTCACCTCACAGCCGGCACACCGGGAAGCCCCCGGGCTGGGCCCGAAGCCTCCGGCCACAGTCACGAGGAAGGCTGAGCCCAGCCGCCCTTATCTTGCCTGACCTTGTGGAGGCTGACCACTCCCTCCTTCTGGAAAATGTGACCCCCTGTCCTTTCTGAGGCCTCTTTCTCCTTAAATCCCCAGGGTCCTGGGTGGGGCCCCTCAGTACCCAATGCAACCCCTGGGTGTATCACCCTGGGGTGCTTTCCCTGGCCCCAGCCCTGGGCCGCCCGCCTTTCAGATGCCTCCCCTGGAGAGCCCGCGGCATCTCTGACTCAGCAGATCTCTGCCTGCCTGGCAGGCCCCCCCCGCCCCCCTCCACCCAGTGAAGCTTCTCAGAGCACCCTGTTGCCCAAGTCCTAACTACTGGCCACTCCCAAGGTCCCCCCCCTCCCCCTCCCAGCTCTCCCAATTCAAATTCCTGACTCTCCCTCCCTAGACCCATGCCCTGCCCGCAGGCAGGAATCCTTCCGATAAGGTCTAGGGGCAAAGGGACACACCTGGGTTCCAACCCTACTCCTCTGCCACCAACCGGGCTGAACGGCTTTGGATAACCCCCCCTCTCTGAGCCCGAGTTTCTCCCTCCGCTTGAGGGGGAAACAATTACACCATCTGGGTCGGGTTGCCGTGGGCAGTACGTGAGCTCAGGCACACGCGGAGGGCTTGCAAAGGCCGGTTCTCTGTGTGAAATGCAGCCACCTGAGAGCCCCAGGCCAACCCTTACTTGGGCATCTGGGTCACAGGCCAGTTGGTGCCTTTTCCTAAATTAGGAACAAACGTGCTGGAATATAGCCCTGGCTGGTCTGGCTCAGTGGATAGAGCGTGGGCCTGCGGACTGAAGGGTCCCAAGTTCGATTCCCGTCAAGGGCATGTACTTTGGTTGCAGGCACATCCCCAGTGGGGGGTGTGTGTGTGTGTGTGTGCGTGCAGGAGGCAGTTGGTCGATGACTCTCTCTCATCGATGTTTCTAACTCTTCCTCTCTGTAAGATATCAATAAAATGTATATATATATATATATATATATATATATATATATATATGTTTTTTTAAATATGCTGGGGAATAAACCCCAATGCCTGCTCACACACAGTCCACACCAGCTCCGGAGGCCCGCAGTGAGGGAGCCACGTGGAGTGAGAACCAGTAGGTTAGAGGGGGCAGGAGAATAGATGAGTAATTCCAAGGCCCTGGGATGATGCCTGGGGGCTGTCTGTGCACACGGGAGGGGCAGCTAAATCCCGGAAGGGTGACGGGATTGGGGAAGGCTGCTGAGATAGAAGGAGAGCACTTTTTGAAGGACACCTTGGCGAGAACTGGCTGGAGGGGCCGGGCAGCCAGAAGGCAAATTTTTGGGAAAAAAAAGAAATTGAGAGTGCCTGCCTGAGATTGCCCAACCAGGAAGTGGGTGATCCAGGATTTAGATCCAGCCCCACCCCACGTAGGCTGAGCCGGAGGGGCCAAGCCTCCAGAAGGCCAACCTCTAGCCAAAGACTGGAACCAAGGGGCTTTGGCCAATGGGGTCCCCCAAGTTAACATCGATGTCCTGGGGTGTGAGTGATGCCACCAAGGCCCCAGCACCCTCCGTGCCCAGGTTCCTGGAGTTGGCTGCCCCTGGGATTACATTGGTTTTTATCAGCCCAGGGCTGGCCCCCTGTGTTCCACCTTGGATGGAACACACACACACCACCCCGACTTCCCACACACTTCCACCCGGCCTTCAAATCCGACCTCCATGGGGCTGAGACGGGGAGAAAAAGTGTGATCCAAAGGTGGAATCTGCCCTAGCCATTTTGGCTCAGTGGATAGAGCATCGGACTGGGGACCGAAGGGTTCCGGGTTTGATTCTGGTCAGGGGCACATGCCCGGTTGCCGGCTCGATCCCCAGTTGGGGGCGTGCAGGAGGCAGCCGATTTATGATTCTCTCTCATCATTGATGTTTCTATCTCTCCCTCTCACTTTCTCTCTTCCTCTCTGAAACCAATATATATATATATTTTTTAAGGTGGTGGAATCTGCGCTTTTTATTTATTATTTATTTATTATTTTAAAAAATACATTTTTTTTTTAATTTCAGAGAGGAAGGGAGAGGGTGAAATAGAAACATCAATGATGAGAGAGAGCCATTGATCGGATGCTTCCGGCTCACCCCACCCTGGGGATCCAGCCCAGAACCCGGACACGTGCCCCAACTCGGAACCAAACCGTGACCTCCTGGTTCGTAGGTCCACACTCACCCCCTGAGCCACGCAGGCTGGGCCTGAGCTTCTCCTTTATGGTCTCCCGCGTTGTGTTCTTGTGAACACATGTCATGTAGTGACTGATACTGATCAGCCAGCCTTACATTTTGAAACATGCACGTTGGCAGGGGTAGAGGGGGCTGGATGGGCTGGGGGGGGGGGGCGTTTCAAGATGGGGCTCCCACAGCCGGTGGGCCACAGGAAGGCAAAAGTGAGCCGCTGCTGTGGCAGCTACTCAGGGTCCTGGTTTGTGAAACCTGATAACGCGTCCAGCGTGTGGGGAGTGGGGACAGAAAACGAGGAGGAAAGCTTGAAAGCCTCTCCCCTGTTGGGGGAGGGCTGGCGAGGTCCTGAGACCTGCCCTGACCGGAGGCGCCTGGGCAGCGGTGGACAGTGCCAGGCCGGGCTCAGAGACCCTCCCTCCAGAACTCTCCAGACTCCTCAGACACTGCCTTTCCCACCACTCCGTAGGCTCCTCTGCCCTCTGGCCAGCTGGGCTTTCCATCCCCATTTCCCCTCCTGGGCAGGCCTGGGCAGGCTCGGGGCCTCCGGGTCATTGGTCCGTCGGGAAGGGGCCCAGGGCAGGCCATGACGAGGCATTCACTCCTTCCCAGCCTGCCCGCCTCACTAGACCTTCCTGGCCTCCCCTTGGCCCTGATCAAGGCCTTCAGGCTCTCAAGGCCCTTGGGGGAGGCGGACTGGACCCAGAACCATCTGCTCCTGCCCCAGACTCCCACCATCTGTGCCCTCACCAGCTTCCTTGGTCTTTCTTTGGGTCCTGACCCTGGGCCAAGGGCTCTGCACACAGAATCTGCTCAAAATACACCCCCTCCCTACCGCAGATGAGGAAAGTGAGGATCATGGAGGCCTCCTGTCTACTGGCAGGCCGGGTCCCAGAGCCCAGTTGTTCTACCAGTCAGTGGTCCTGCCTTCCTTAGCCTACCTGGCCTTGTGCTTATATATATATATATATATATATATATATATATATATATATATAATTGATTTTTTACAGGGAGGGAGAGGGATAGAGAGTTAGAAACATCGATGAGAGAGAAACATCGATCAGCTGCCTCCTGCACACCCCCAACAATTGGGGATGTGCCCGCAACCAAGGTACATGCCCTTGACCGGAATCAAACCTGGGGCCCTTCAGTCCGCAGGCCGATGCTCTATGCACTGAGCCAAACCGGTTTCGGCAGCCTTGTGCTTAATTCACTTACTAAAACTTTCCATGGCCACAGGGAAACTTGGGTTTGCAGGAGTAGGGCTGCAAGAAAAATGAAAAGGGAGGACCCCTGTGGATTTGCCAGGCCTGGATCCTCTGGAATAATGTCCCTTATGGGTCTGTGGGGGGGGGGGGAGGTTCCAGGTGCTCTGGGGAAGAGGACAGGGCTGGGCAGGGCCTGAATCCTAGGCTTGCAGGGTCAGAGACATTTCCAGCTCACCTGGACTCTGTGCTCAAGGCCGCAGCAGGCAGGTATGGGCCCAGGTGCAGTCCCTAGAGAGCAACCCTAGGTGTGCCTAGGCTGCCCCCTAGTGGCAGCATGAGGAAGCTCCCGAGGACTTTGAAATCCTTAGCTGGGGGGGACACCTGTCCTCAGTCTATTTCTCTCTTCCTGTGCCTCTGCTCCCTGAACTTTTCCAAATGTGGAATCACTCATTCGCACATGTCAACAGAGTGTCCTCCCTTCCCCCCAGCTGGGAAACCATGTGTGCAGCCTTCTGGGGTCCCTGGACAAAACAGAGGGAGAAGAAGCAATTTGTCTTCCCTTGGTTGTGCTTTCACTTCTTTTTTTTAAAAAATATATTTTTTATTGATTTCAGAGAGGAAGAGAGAGGGAGAGAGAGAGAGAAGCATCAATGATGAGAGAGCATCATTCATTGATCGGCTGCCTCCTGCACGCCCCACACTGGGGATCAAGCCCGAAACCTAGGCATGTGCCCCGGACCGGGAATCGAACCGTGACCTCCTGGTTCATAGGTCGACGCTCAACCACTGAGCCACACCAGCCGGGCTTCCTTTCACTTCTAAGTTATTCTTTTGCGGCCCTGGCCCGATAGCTCAGCTGGTTAGAGTGTCGTCCTGATATGCCAAGAGTGAGGGTTCAGTCGACCAATGAATGCATGAATAAGTGGAGCAACAAATCGGTGTTTCTCTCTCCCCCTTCCTCTCTCTTTGAAATCAATAAATAAGAATAAAGTAAAATGTTCTTTAATTTTTTTTTCTATTTTAATGCGGGGTTGAACATAAGACAGAAAAATAACATCCTGGTCACTTTTTTTTTTTTTTTTTTTTTTTTTTTTTTAAAGAGGCAAAGCTTTCCTTGAGACGGTCATACATAGCCATGGATGGGTAATGTTCGCCTCTTAAATTGCTGAATCCACACAGAACGGCACTTCTCCAAACACCTGTTGTCGCGGTTACTGACAACGCCAGACCAGCCTGTCACACTCCGGGGGCTGCTTGTCCTGTTTCCTTTCGCGAACCTCTGAGCTCAGACGGAAGCCCTGCGGCTCTGAGAGGCGAGGGGGTGCGGGAGGCTGCTGTCGGTTTCACACGTGGTGCTCTTGGAGGCGAGGAGGGGTGCTGGTGAGAGGGCCCGGTGCTGGCTTCTCCTCTGGCAGGGCCTGGGCGGCCAGAGGCCACCCCCCTCCCCCCCGGGACAGCCTTGCTCACTCATCATGGAGGGACATGTAATCCAGCAGGTGGGCTGGGACGAGTCCTCTGCGGCCGCCGGACTCCCCGTAGTAGAACCCCCTGTCATCCACGGGCCCGTACACCGTGACCAGGTCCCCGGCCTTCAGCGACAGCTTGCCCTTCACTTGGCCGCCCACCCACCCGTCCTTGGGGTCATAGTCCAGAGCTGCCATCATGGTCTTTCGAGTGCACAGTGGAGGCTTCCTGGGGTCCCCTTGGGGCGGGCGAAAGGAGTCCTGGGGGATGGGGAGCTCTCCGATTTCATCTTGCGCTGGTAAATGCCACCTCCTGTCAGTCCTCTCCATCCCTTCCTCCACCTCAGCCACCAGATGCCCGGGGATGTTGCCCACTCGGCCGTGGCATTCCCCCCGGTAGAAGCCCTGGGAGTCCTGAGGGCCCCACACTCGCAGCAGCTGCCCTTTCTGGAAGGCCAGCTCCTCCTCTGCAGCCTCGGGGCTGGCAGACATCACCAGGGGCTCATAGTCAAAGAGGGCCACAAAGACCCTGGCCGAGGCATCCGGGCCCGCCGCCCGCAGTGGGGGGCCTCCCCCGGGCCCCGGAACGGCTTTGCTGGACGAAGCCGGACAGAGCGTGGAGCCGGGCTCGTGGAGCTGGCTCTCTCTCTCGCCCCACAGAGCCTGCCCTCGCCTGCTCTGCGTCCTCAGCTCCCTTCTCTGCTCCTGCCTCTCAGTGGCCCATGGGCCGAAGCACAGGGCCTCCTCCTCTTCCTCCTCCTGCTGCTGCTGCTGCAAAATGTCACGGAAGCCAGACGCGTGTCGTTGGCGGGTGCCTCTCTGGGGGGGGGTGAACACCTGGGCGTCTCGCTTCTGCCTCAGGACCTTGTCGAGGGCAGCCTTTCCCTGACAGGCTTCTCTCCCGGGCGCACGCTCGGGAGACAGACGGGGGCCTCCCAGAGCAGGGCTTCGGCTGGTGCCCAGGTGCCAGTCACTGTGCTCTCCCCCCTGAGACTGGCCACTGTGCAGGGGTGGCCTGTGGTTCTGAGTGCTCTCCCGAGAGAGGAGGTCTTCTCTGCAGACCCCCCAGGCCTCTGCAGGCCCCGGGGTGTGGCCACCTGCCCCTGCCCTTGGACATTCTCCTTCTGAGCTCAGGCCGGGCATCGGGTCTTCTTCAGGGAATGCTTCCAGGGACTCCCCACAGCTTCTGGGGGTGTGGCAACCAGCCCTGGCACCCGGTGGAGCTGGCACCAACCTCTGCGGGCAGACGGGGAAGGTGGTGGTGCCCGGGGACCGGTCGCCACGGGGGCAAGTAAAGGGAGAGGTCTCTGGCAGTCTGTTCCCGTTCCAACCATCCTGAGGGATCTGAGCCGGCACCGAATCCGGCGACTCGCCACAGAGCGAGACGGTTCTCACCGAGACCTTCTGGCACATCCGGGGCAGCTGGAGCTGGGACAGATCCAACAGGGTGCTGCCAGCGGTGGCGTTGGTGACCTCTGCCACCTTGAGCCCATCGGCATACACGGCGTAGCCGGTGACCCGGACCCCGTTGGAGAAGCCGGCCAGGTCGATGGTCACTGGGAGCCAGCTGACCACCAGGAGGCCCGGCATTGCGTGGCGCTCCACCAGCACGTCCAGCGGAGGGTCCGGGGGCCCCGCCAAGGGCGTGTCGAAGGTGAGCGCGGAGGACAGGGTTTCCCAGCGCCCCTGCATGGAGTCCCATGGCAGCTGCGCCTCCACCTGCACCCGGTACCGCGTGCTGGGCTGCAGGCTGCGGAAGGCGTAGCTGCTCACGCCGGCTGGGGTCAGGGCGTGCTTCTGGTCATCGAGGTACACCACGTGCGGCCGGCGGGGGCTGCTGGAGACCCAGAGGATCCTGGCCGATGTGGCCGCAACATTCTGCAGGCGTAGCTGTTTGGGGGCTACGCAGGGGACCCCGTCGGGCCCTAAGAGGGATCTGGAGAACCCCTGCTCCTCCACACTCGGCGGTGGGCCCAGCCAGCCATCTTCTGTCTTGGCATCGGAGATCTCTATTGCCGCTTCCGTCTTGGAGGCCACCCTCACCATCTGGCACGTCTCCCCATCCGCAGCTCCCTGAGCTTTCCCGGGCAATACGCTGTGACTAATGTCTTCCTTTGAAGCTCTGCCCTGTCCAGCTGGGAGCTGAGCGGGGCCAGGGTCAGAGGTCTCGGGGGGCAGGCAGCCAAGGACGTCGTTGTCCGGAATCTGCACCACCAGGTTGGAGGGCACCAGGCCCCGCCGGCCGTCCTCCAGCTCCCCTTCGTAGAAGCCGTCCTCGTCCATCTCGCCAAAGATGTACACGTAGTCGCCCGCCGTGAGGGGCAGCTCGCTCTCCGGGTGCTCGTTGGGCCCCTCAAACGGGTTGTAGCTGTATCGAACCAGGAAGATCTTGAGCTTGGGGGCGGGGGCGGGGGCGGGGGCCTCCGAGTCCCCCGCTTCCAGGGTCAAGGACGCACTGTCGGGATCCAGGTCCTCCACCTCACTGGCTGTGTCCATGTCCAGAGTAAGGCAAGACGGCACGGTGGCACACAGGGATTCCACCTCGGAGGAGGAGTTGGACTGGGAGCTGGTTTTCTTGGCCTGGGGTCTGCTGTCCAGAGGCTGGCTGGCTGGGACTCTGCCTGGTGCTTGAGGGGGGACATGGGCTGGCTCCCCGAGGGCAACTGGGCTCTCCGGCAGAGAGGCGTCCCTCTCCTGTTTGTCTCCGCTGGGCCGTGGAGATGCCCGGTCTTCGGGCCCTGGCTGGAACCTGGCCCTTCTGCTCTTCCTGCCTTGGAAATCCTGGGCTTGGGAGGTCTCCGGGGGCTCCTGGGGATGGGGACCAGGCTGGCTCTGCAGCACCCGCACTTCCTCCCGGGCAGCCTCGAGATCGCGCAGTGCCTTCTGCAGGTCACGCTGCAGCTGCTGCTGCTCCTCCCGCTCGCGCGCCGCCTGCTGCAGCAGCTGCTCCACCAGCAAGTCCGTGGCGTCGCGCTCCCGGCACGCGCGGCCCAGCTGCTCGAGCACGTCGTCCTTCTCGGCCGCCAGTTTCCGCGTCCAGCCGGCGGCTTGTGCCGGCAGCAGCCGCGCCTTCTCCTCGGCCAGCCAGGCGCCCTCCCCAAGCGCGGTCTGCAGCTGTGCCTCCGCCTCCGAGCCGCGCCGCCGCCGCGCCGCCGCCGCCGCCGCCGGGGACCCCAGCTCCTGGCACTCCCGCCTCCGCGGGGACACCTCGCACTCCAGCGCCTGCACCTGGCACCGCGCCTCCTCGCATCTGAGATCTCTATTGCGGCTCGGGGCTCCGTGGCGCAATGGATAGCGCATTGGACTTCTATTGCGGCTCGGCTCCGCCCGGGCCGCCTTCTGCAGCGTCAGCTGCCTCTGCAGGCGCAGCACCTCGCGCTGGGACTCCCGCTGCAGCCGGTCCAGGTCGCTGACTTTGAGCCACTGCGCGCTGGCCGCGCCCCCATGAGGGTGGGGGGCGCTTCCGAGGCCCGAGGCGACGTGCGTCTGCAGCAAGTGGCACTCGTGCTGCAGCTCTTCGATCTGCTTGTCCTTGGCCAGCAGCGCGCTCGCCTGCTCCGACAGGTCCCGGGCGCGCTGGCGGGCAAAGGCCTGGCACAGCTCCAGGCCGGCGGCGGCGGCGGCTGCGCGGCTCTCCCCGGGCACCGGCGCGCTCAGGGCCCGCAGGTTGGTCTCCTGCAGCTTGCGGGCCCGGTCCTCCAGGCGGCGGGCCAGGCCTGTGAGCTCCGCGTGCTTCACCTTGAGCCGCTTCGCCTTGTCCGCCTCCTGGTCCGGGAAGCGCGCGCGCCGCCGCAGCTGCAGGTTCTCTTGCAGCAGGTCCGAGCAGCGGCGCGCCAGCCTCTGCAGCGCCTCCGACAGCTCCGAGTTCTGCTTCCCAAGCTCTTGGTCCTCCAGGCTCAGGGGCGGCAAGAGGGCCAGGGCATCGCAGGGCTGGCTCCCGGAGTCTTCTCCTGTCTGGTCGCCGGGACCCCTGGGCTGCGATGGTGGTGGCGGTGGTGGCAGAGGCTGCGGTGATGGCGGCGACAGCGATGGCGGCGGGGGACTCAGGAAGCCCAGGATGAACGTGTCCGCCGAGGAAGCCCGTTCCTCGGACTCGGGGGCCCTGAGGGGACGACGACTCAGAATGCTGTCCAGCGAGTGGGAGCGCGCTGGTGCCAGGGAAGCGAGGGAGCCGGAGCGCGTGGGGAGCAGGCTGTCGAGGGAGCTGGAGCATGCTGCGGGCACCCCTTCGAGGGAGCGGGAGCTCAGGCCATCAAGGGATTCGAGTCGAACTTGGGGGGACTTTGGAGGGCGGTGAGAGTCGCTGGTGGCCTCGGGGTGCGGGCCTTCCGAAGAATGCACAGCCGCCTGGGGATCCGGGGCGCCGGGCAAAACCGGGAGCCAGCGGGAGTGCTCCAGGGCGTACTTGAGAAAGAGCTGCCGCTCCAGGTCGAGCGCCGCCTGCAGGTGGCGGATGCGCGCGGCCTGCTCGCCGTCGGTCTCCCAGCGGAGCTGCGCCAGCACGTCCTGCAGGCGGCAGCGGCACTGCGTGGCGGCGGCGGCGGCGGCGGCGGCCTTGGGCGCCCCCGCGCGGCCGCCGTAGCCGCGGTTCACCAGCTCGGCGGCCAGCTGGCGCTGCAGCTCCCGCGCCTGGCGGACGACGCCGTCGCGCTCGCGGTGCAGCAGCTGCTGCAACTGCCGCATCTCGGCCTCCTTCCAGCGCAGCAGCTGCCGGATCTCGGCCTCGCGCTCCCGCAGCACCTTCTCCTGCAGCTGCCGCAGCTCCCGGCAGCGCTGGGCCTCCCACTGGGAGCGCAGATGGTCCACCAGCTGCCGCCGCCCCTGCTCCTCCGCCTCCCGCAGCTGGCGCGCCTCGGCCGCCCAGCGCCGCCGCTCCGCCCTCCCGCGCGCCCGCTCCTCCTCCAGCTCCGCCCGTAGCTTCTCCAGCTCCCGCTTCTGCTCCTCCAGCACTGCTGCTGATGCCGATGCCGTCGGGCCCGGACTGGCCAGCTTCTTGGGTGTCGCGCGGCTGCCACCGGAAGGGTTGGGCGAGTCCTTGGTCATGGTGGCTGCTGTCCGGCCAGGTGCTTGGCGTCCCCTGGCCCAGGCCTCCGGTGGCCAACGGCTGCCGTCCCAGCCGGCCAACCGCCCCGCGCGCCCCTTCCGGCGTCTCCCGGGGGTCTCCGCGCGCCCCTTCCGCCTCTGGGCGAGTTCTTTGAGCCCCTGCCATGCGTGCACAAGCCCTCGCTCCTCTCCCAGCTGCCTGGGCCGGGGATGGACTCTCGCCGCTCCTGCTCAACTCACCCCATGTCCTTCTCAGGACGCCCCTGGGGTCTCTCTGGCTCCAGGCTTTCCCAGTCCTTGGCACCCTGTCCCTTACGACTGACCCGGACACTCTCCCAGGCACTGTTCCATCCCTTTCAGGCCAACGGGCTGGGGGAAGTCAGGCTGCTGTGCTGGGGCCTAGTGAAAACCGCTCCGTGTGTGGGTCAAAATGGATTTAGGTGGCTGAAAACCTGCAACAGGATATGCTCAAACTTGGGGGTGGGCCCTGGGCCCCCAATTAGGGGAGGGTGCATCTGGTGTCTGCACCCCGACTGTGCCTATCCTTTCAAGGCCTCCTGTGGTGCTAAGCACTTGCATACATTTTCTATTTAAACCTCCTATGCTTACAGATGGGAACTTTTTCTTAAACTCCTTTATTACAAAATCTTTCTTTGTTTTAATCCTCACCTGAGTATATTTTTTTCCATTGACTTCTAGAGAAAGTAGAAGGGAGGGAGGAGGGTGGAGAGAGAGAGAAACATCCATGTGGTGAGAGAGAGGTGCTTGGATTGGTTGCCTCCTGCAGGCAATCCCTACCAGGGCTGGGGAGCCTGCAGCCAAGGTACATGCCTTTGACCAGAATCAAACATGCAACTCTTCGGTCCAAAGGCTGATGTTCTGACCATGGAGCAAGCGGCCAAGGCAGGTTAGGCGGTTTTTGGTTTTGTTTTTTAATATATTTTATTGATTTTTTTTTTTACAGAGAGGAAGGGAGAGGGACAGAGAGCTAAAAACATCAATGAGAGAGAAACATCGACCAGCTGCCTCCTGCACACCCACCACCGGGGATGTGCCCGCAACCAATGTACATGCCCTTGACCGGAATCGAACCCGGGACCTTTCAGTCCGCAGGCTGATGATCTATCCACTCAGCCAAACCGGTTTTGGCGGTTTTTGTTTTTTAAAATATATATTTTTTTTTATTGATTTCAGAGAGAAGGGAGTGGGGGAGAGAGAGATAGAAACATCAGTGATGAGAGAGAAACATCGAATGGCTTCCTCCTGCATGCCCCCTATTAGGGACTGAGCTCTTGGTTCATAGGTCAACATTCAACCACTGAGCCATGGGCACAGAAAAGGTTTTAAGTTTCCTAATCTCTCCAGCTACAGTAGCCCCAGCGTTCTACTCCACTTCCCTTATTTTTGGGTTAATATTTTTTTGTCTTTTTTTTTTTTTGTCTGTTCTCTGAGGTGGCCTCAGCATCTGGAACAGTGCCCGGCACATGGTAATGCTCAATAAATATACGACAAGCCAAAACCAGTTTGGCTCAGTGGATAGAGCGTCAGCCTGCAGACTGAAAGGTCCCAGGTTCGATTCTGGTCAAGGGCGTGTACCTTGGTTGCAGTCACATCCCCAGTGTGGGGTGTGCAGGAGGCAGCTGATCAATGTTTCTCTCTCATCGATGTTTCTAATTCTCTATCCCTCTCCCTTACTCTCTGTAAAATAATCAATAAAATGTATTTTTTTAAAATACATGACCAGCCCTAGTTGGTTTATAAATACATGACCAGTTCTAGCTAGAGCATCAAGGACACATATCCAGGTTGTGGCATTTATCCTCAGTACGGTGCATGCAGGAGGCAGCCAACCAATGATTCTCTCATCATTGATGTTCTACTCTTTCTCCCTCTTCCTTCCTCTGTGAAATCAATACAAACGTATTTTAAATAAATAAATACATGACCAAAACAAGACAGAGGTGAACAGGGTAAATCTGTCCTCATGGGGTTTACAGTCTAAGGGAGGACACAGAGGTTAAACACAAATATGGCAAAGGGATGTGGTGCAGTCGGAGCTTGGGCAAGTGCTGTGGGTGAGGGGTATTCGATTCCGGTCAAGGGCATGTACCTTGGTTGCAGGCACATCCCCAGTAGGGAGTTTGCAGGAGGCAGCTGATCGATGTTTCTCTCTCATAGATGTTTCTAACTCTCTGTCCCTCTCCCTTCCTCTCTGTAAAAATAGATAAAATATATATTTCTTCTTCTAATGGGGAGAAGAAGCCCATCAGAGCAGGCTCCTGAGAACTGAGGTAGGAGAGTGTGTGAGGTCTGCCAGAGCTGAGATTTCAGGCAGAGGGACCCTCTGGCTGCCAGCACTGGCCCTCTCCCCTGCCCACCTGGCCCAAGGCAGGCCCGCCCTCCTCTGGCCTTGACTCTTCACAGTTCTGCCACGTTCTCCTTTGCCTACGGAGAAACTGGAGCTTGAAGAGGAAGGGTCCCTTAGCAGGATCCCAATCAGGCCTTAACATCTGAGATCATGGGGAGGACTGGCACTCCCAGGATGCCCCTTCCTGGATGGGGCTGGATGTGGAGAAGGACCTTGCTGCTCTCTGCCTCCACTTTGTGGGCCCTGCAGCCTGCTCTAGACCATCTGTGTCCTCTGGTGCTGGGGATGGCACTGTGTGCCAGCTTCCAGCTCTCTGGCTGAGGCCCCTGGCCTGCTGGGCTGGCCTCTGGCCCTGGCATCCCTGGCCTAGCTCCTCAGGCATGTGCCTCTGTGGGTGGCCAGCCTGCCCGCCCCCTCCTGTACTTTCTGTGCCTTGTCCCTGTGTCCTCACTACAGCCAGGGAGGCTGGCACTGTCCTCTGCAGACAAAGAAACTGCCCAGGGTCACACAAGGACTCGGGCCCAGGCCCGTGTGACCTAAGTCTGGGGTCTGTGCTGAGCCTGGCCCACTGGCTCTGGCAGCTGGAGGGTAATGGTAAGCCCCAAGCCCTCGGACAAATGGCTGCCATTTCCTGAGGACCCTGATTCTGTTGGGAGCATCACAGTTTTCCAGCGATGCAGGGCTACCAGGACAGACCTAGCTTCCGTCTCTGCCATATTCACTTCTCTCCCTCAAGGCCTATTCCAAACACCCACCTTTCTCTGCCGCCTGAAGCATGAGGCCTTGCCAGCTCCCACTAACATCAGTGGCAATATCTATTTCTTGTCCACTCATTTACTCCATTATTTTTTTTTAATATTTTATTGATTTTTTACAGAGAAGAAGAGTGAGATAGAAATATCGATGAGAGAGAAACATCCATCAGCTGCCTCCTGCACACCCCCCACTGGGAATGTGTCCGCAACCAACGTACATGCCCTTGACCAGAATCAAACCCGGGACCTTTCAGTCCGCAGGCTGACGCTCTATCCACTGAGCCAAACTGGTTTCAGCTACTCCATTATTTTTTAAAATATTTTTTATTGATTTCAGAGAAGAAGGGAGAAGGGGAGAGAGAGAAACATTGATGATGAGAATTATTGATCCTGGGAATCAAACCGTGACATCCTAGTTCCTTGGTTGACGCTCAACCACTGAGCCACACTGGCCAGACTGTCCCGTCATTTAGCTGCTGCTATGGGTCAGGGGGGCAGTCCTTTATCAACTGTTTGTTGAGTGCCCAACCTGGCCCGGGTGGGGTAGGGCCAGGCATGGAGTTAATTCCTCATTCTTTGAACACAGAGAACCTCCAATGCGGTTTGCTGAAGGAAGGAAGAAATGAGGGAGCAAGGAAGATAGATCAGAAGGAGGGAGAATGGGAGGGAGAGAGGGAGAGAGGGAGAGAGGGAAGGAGGGAAGGAGGAAAGGAGGGAAGGAGGGGAGTCCTTACGTCAGCTGAGTCTCCCAAATCTTGGTTTACCACCCCCAGGCCAACTGCAGACTTGGGCTGCAGTGTCTGGCTGGCTGGGTGACTGAGGAAAAGTTGACTGGTCCCTTGAGCCTCAGTTTCTTCCTCTGTAAATGGGACCGATGGCGTTCTGAATTCAGAGGGCAGTCAGAGTAGTTGATGCTTGTGTGTTTGCACTCAGCCCAGCAGACAGCAAGCTGTCAAGTTCCCCCAGCGAGTGTGGTAAGGAGAGTCCTTAGGAATGACTAGCACTTGCCGAAACCGGTTTGGCTCAGTGGATAGAGCATCGACCTGCGGGTTGAAAGGTCCCAGGTTCAATTCTGGTCAAGGGCATGTACCTTGGTTGTGGGCACATCTCCAGTAGGGGGTGTGCAGGAGGCAGCTGGTCGATGTTTCTCTCTCATCGATGTTTCTAGCTCTCTATTCCTCTCCCTTTCTCTCTGTAAAAAAATCAATAAGATATATTTTTAAAAGAAAAGAATGACTAGCATTTGACAGATGGGCAGTGGGGTGTTGGGGGGAGGGAATGACAAAGGCATCACAGGTGAGGGAGCAGCATGCTCAGAGGCAGGGGCATGGTGAGGATGGAGCACTGGCTGGTGGGAGGGATGCAGGACATGGAGCTGTAGGCCAGACAGGGAGGACCAGACAGACCCTTGCCAGTATGGGCCAGGTAGGGTCTACCTCCTGGAACCTCACTCCCACGCTGGGTGATGCCAGGCAGGCCCCTTTCTCAGGGCCTCCGTTTCTCCATCTGGCAAAGAGACTGTCTTAGCGTTGCTCTGTGGTCCCAGCGCACCCAGTGGTGGATGCAGATGCCCCGTGCCCAGGGGCAAGCACACAGTCAGACATACCGAGTGTGAGAGCCCACTGCCAATTTCCTTTTTTCTTTCCTTTTTAAATACATTTTTATTGATTTTACAGAGAGGAATGGAGAGGGGTAGAGTTAGAAACACCAATCAGCTGCCTCCTGCACGCCCCCTACTGGGGATAGAGCTCACAATCAAGGTACCTGCCCTTAACCAGAATCGAACCCAGTCCCGCAGGCCAAAGCTCTATCCACTGAGCCAAACTGGTTTTGGCCCGAGTTCTTTTTTTTTTTTTTTTTTTTTTATCTGAGCCCACTAGGCAGGCCCCAG